TGTTTGATCGGGTTCAAGTCCAAGCTCTGGCTGAGCCACTCAAGGACATTCAGAGACCTGTCCCGAAGCCACTCCTGTTTTGTCTTGGCTGTGTGCTTAGGGTCGTTGTCCTGATTAGTCTCCCAGTCCCTGCCGCTGAAAGACATCCCCACAGCATGATGCTGCCACCCATGCTTCACCATAGGGATGGTGCCAGGTTTCCTCCAGACGTAACGCTTGGCATTCAGGTCAAAGAGTTCAATCTTGGTTTCATCAGACCAGAGAATCTTGTTTCTCGTGGTCTGAGAGTCCTTTAGGTGCCTTTTGGCAAACTCCAAGCAGGCTGTCATGTGCCTTTTACTGAGGAGTGGCTTCCGTCTGGCCACTCTACCATAAAGGCCTGATTGGTGGAGTGCTGCAGAGATGGTTGTCCTTCTGGAAGGTTCTCCCATCTCCACAGAGGAACTCTGGAGCTCTGTCAGAGTGACCATCGGGTTCTTGGTCACCTCCCTGACCAAGACCCTTCTCCCCCGATTGCTCAGTTTGGCTGGGCGGCCAGCTCTAGGAAGAGACTTGGTGGTTTCAAACTTCTTCCATTTAAGAATGATGGAGGCCACTGTGTTCTTGGGAACCTTCAATGCTGCAGACATTTTTTGGTACCTTTCCCCAGGTCTGTGCCTCGACACAATCCTGTCTCGGAGCTCCACAGACAATTTCTTTGACCTCATTGCTTGGTTTTTGCTCTGACATGCACTGTCAACTGTGGGACCTTATATAGACAGGTGTGTGCCTTTCCAAATCATGTCCAATCAATTGAATTTACCACAGGTGGACTCCAATTAAGTTGTAGAAACATCTCAAAGATGATCAATGAAAACAGGATGTACCTGAGCTCAATTTCAAGTCTCATAGCAAAGGGTCTGAATACTTATGTAAATACGTGTATTTTAATTTTCATACATTTGCAAACATTTCTCTAAACCAGTTTTCGCTTTGTCAATATGGGGTATTGTGTGTAGATTGCTGAGGATTTTCATTTATTTAATCCATTTTAGAATTAGGCTGTAACGTAGCAAAATGTGGAAAATATACTTTCCGAAGGCACTGTACATTTTCTGTCAACTGGAGTTACCCCCTAACCATACCTTTAAATCAGTTATTATATCATGACAAAGATGGGATTAACATGGTTCATATAATTTATGGGAATGATTTGGCTAACATTTTGATGAATGGACTTCATTACAAAAAGAAGCTTGAAATAAACACGTGTCCAAATTAAGATACCACCATGTACAGCAATAAAGTGCTTAATACATGATTTAACCGTTATTTTTGGTAGTCTTCTTCCTGAAAATATAAATTGCAATGGGGGGAAAAAAAGACAAATAAAAATGTGTTTTGTTTTTAAAAAATAATTTATTGTTCTTTATGTACAGGAAAAAAATAAAATAGAAAACAAAATTAGTAGAAAAGGCTAATTGTACAAGAAACACTATCTATACTGTACACTGCATTGAAGATGTCCAACTGTCTGCATGACCCAGGTAATGTTTCTGTGTCATAGATAGGCAATACTTTATCATACAATATGAAGTAAAAGAGTCCTCTTCCACTCAGTATGTCTTTGATCACCTATATAGTGTGTGTATGAACCAGATAATTTCTTATAACGTCCTTGATACCGGCTTTGCTTGAACACAGTACCACCGTGTCATGTCTGACTGTGCTTTTCCCAGCAGCAAAGACACACAAAACAATAGACTTCTCATCCTCAGATCAGACAGAAACATGTAAGTGTATAATTATAATATCCATTTCTATATGATACAGAAAAACGTTATTGAGAACTGAAAAATTGGTTTGAGCGTCAAATGGTTGGTTATCTTTCTCATCACGGAGGGAGGGGTGTGGTATATTCTTTGCACCTCTATACAAGCACTCATCTTCTCAACAACCTGCACACACCGACCGAAAGCCTCTGAACACTTGTCTTTGGTTAGCCAAGTACTGTATTTATGTTAGGTAAACTTCACAGTTTGAGAGCAGGCAGTAAAGTAAGCCGCTGACTGCATATACTGTACCGTCCTGAAAGCAGAAATGGAATATAGCTAAGCACATCAATGCGGTGTACAGTCGTCGTGACCGTACAAAGGGATTTTCTTAATGCTGCAGAACAATAAATGAGAATAAGAATAGAGCCAAAACAAAATACAAACTGCAACCAATCAACCATGTACACTACAAACATAGTAAGCTGCAGCAAAATAATGTTTAAAATACAAATATTTTGGTCTGTATGAGTGACAGCAAACAGTTGGAGCAGAGAATGCAAATGAAGGCTGAAAATAAGTGAAAATAAGAACAAAACTGTCAAAATAAAAGGATTCAAATCAAAAGAAAAAAAACTGAAAAAAAAGCTGAAACAAAGTAACATTTCAGAATTGCACAATTTAATACTGATGTACTTACTGTAAGTAAGTGGACACCATTGCTGTACTGTCTGTAGTTGTAGGGACCTAATATAATAGAGGAACATCGCCTACATGCGCAGTAAGTGAAACAGAACCGCTGTGTTCAGAGCACCAACAGTTGTCCAGAGCAGTGTTTTCCCAATTCCAGTCCTCGAGTATCCCTGGGCCCCTATTCATAACGCGTCTCAGAGTAGGAGTGCCAGGATCAGTTTTGCTTTTCAGATCATAATGTATAAGATTACATGGACAAGGGGGGATCTGATCCTAGATCAGTACTGAGCTAAGCTACTCCTCTATACCAGTGTTTCCCAACTCCAACTCGAGTATCCCCAAACAGCACACATTTTTGTTGTAGCCCCAGACAAACACACCTGATTAAACTCCGATCCCCCTTGTCCATGTAATCTTATATATTATGATCTGAAAAACAAAACTGACCCTAGCACTCTTACTCTGAGACGCGTAATGAATTGATGCCCAGTTTGACAGGCTGTTTCGGTGGAGAGCTCTTTTAGGGTCAGGCGGTAGAATATGGGCCTGGGCCTAATGATGACTCAGATCACTACAGTATGTTGAGGCAAAAGCAATTAAATAGTTATTGATTAGTTGCTTTGATACAGACAAAATAAAAACAATTTGAATAATAAAAATGACAATTATTCAGAATAGCAATAATAATACAACCAATAAATAATAATAACACTAACAACCAAAAGCTTGATTCCATGCGAGGATACTGTACTTAGTCAACAAAATAAATCATTAACAGATGTAATACCACTTGGTCTTTGCAGTTACATCGTACACACACAGCCGCTTCTGTGTTGGAGATTCTCTTAAGTCATTGTTATCAGTATCACCATTTATGATCAAGGTTTTGGTATGTTACCACGGTGATAACGACCAAGATATTATAGACCTATATCCTTATAGAAACGATGGACATATTCAGTCTGAATACATTAAATAGTATAGGACCTCTTCAACTCCACAGCAATTGCCAAGGCAACACAAAGATCACTGATAAGAGATAAACACAATCTTACCTTTAAAAAACTATACTGATATATGACGTTGTGTTAACACCAATGTTTTTTGTCTTTAAAAAGGGGCGAATAAAAGTGAACTCTGGCATAAGATGCTATCAATACAAAGTGAATGAATATAGTTTTGTTTCTTTGATGGTTTGCTTCCCTTTGGATCCAATTAATTGAGCAGTAATGTTTCAATTCTCGAGCCAAGCATGTGTGTGAAGATGCAGGTCAGGATCATCATAATAATTTAGTTTGTCCTCAGATATCGTTAGATTCTCCCTTCAGGAGTCAGTCTTGGTTTGGTTTAATTAATTTGGGGGGGTGCTTATATTTGTTCTGTTGCACACAAGTTTGTAATGTTTTTTTGCATATCCGACCTCCCCTTGAGAGTCCCGCTGGGAGTGGGGTCACAGCCAGGGTCACCATTGTACAGCGCCCAAGGAGCAATTAGGGTTAAGTGCCTTGCTCAAGGGCACAGCAACATATTTTTTCACCTTGTCGGTTCCGGTATTCAAATCAGCAACCTTTCGGTTACTGGCCCAATGCTCTAACCTTGAGGCTACCTGCCGCCCCTGGTTGAGGCCTTATCAGGCCCTCGTCAACAACATACACGACCAATCCAGGTCATCACACACACGTCTTCGCTCTTGACCAAGAGCATTCTCACACCAGTCTAGCATCGTAATAAGGGGACATCATTTCCTAAATGAATGCTATAGGTGTAGAAGAATACCATCACATTATTGACAAAGGTATCATAAAATATCTTAAAATCCACTGTACAGTATGAGGTATGAAAATACGAGACTCCTCCCCTTGCTCAACACATGCATCTCATAAAAAGTTTAGAACTTGTCCAGCACACAGTTGGTTGGTTTCAGGGGCGATTTCTTGCCAAAAGTACCAAAGTTATATTTGAACTTACTCCACAACAAAGTACAATAGACGTTTGTACAAACTGTGAAAAAATATAAAGGTTTACTGTTCAGTTACGTGAAATGGCCGTCAATAAAAGGTTAATATGTGACAGGTCTGTCTGAGAATATCACATATGCTTTTTGTTCATCCCTAACACGTCCCTAACAGCACGTGGCTCACACCACTTCACACAGAAAAGCCAGCCGAGCAGTATACATTTCTATCTAAACAGACACTAAAGCCGAGCCGAAACCACAATCCAGAATGCAACACAGACAGCGAGCAATTCTCTGATCTGAAAAGCACATTTTTGGTAAAAAGCAAAATTGCAACACAAACTACCTGCTTTGTGCTTGAACACTTAATCCCGGAATAAAGCCTGACTAGCCCAAACTCATAATCTGCAAAACCTTGGTCTGTGATCAAATTATTTTTAAAAAATACATGGGGAGTAGAGGTTTGAACCACCTGTCGTACAGTATCTATATCTTAGGTAAGCCTTTGTTTTTGAATGGGTGTTATGAATTGGCTGTGTCCTGGCAAGCGTCGTCTGCAGTGACTCAAGTCCATAATCAAGTGAATAATACTGACACTCTTAACCACAGAAGAAGCCCACTCCACTCCACTCACTCAGACAGACCCTGCTCCAGCAATGGGATGGATGAATATCCGGACAGGAGAGAAACAAATAGAGAGCTTCCTCTTGCGTTTGAGGCTTCCAAATATTTTACACCCAAAGTATAGTAACGCACACAAAAGCCTCACATAAACAAGCACACACACACACACACACACACACACACACACACACTTATGGTCGATGCAAAATATCTGGGTCCACATCAGCCAACAAACTGGTTCCAGACCCACAATGCAGTGTTCCGTCTTTGAGGCTCCCTGTGTGTCTCTCCACTTCCGCCTGCTCCTCCTCTTTCTCGTCCTGTGTCCCATCACACACCCCTTCACCTGCCCAGCAAGGTCAGAGGTTAGGACAGGGCTGTATTCAGTAGGGCACACACCGTAGCAAAAACGTTTTATGTAGTCCCTCCCTGTTCCAGCCCATTTGGTGGCTAATGAACACGACCCAGGTCAGGACAGGGCACGTCAGGACAGGGTGCAGTCATACGCCCCCTCGTCCGCCGCCTGCTCCTCCTGCTCCTCAGGAGCTCCTCCGTCCTCTGTCACTAACCCTCCAGAGGGCTCCAAGGGCAGGGTCAGACCCAAGGGAGCAGGCCCTCTACTGTCCTCCGCCCTGGGGCCTCCAGGCTGGGGCTCAGCCAGCTTGGAGTTGGGGTTGGAAGCCCCTGGCTGGAAGGCTTCAGGCTGGACCTGCTCCACAGCAGTCTCTATTAGCTTCTGCAGCTGGGGCCGGATCAGGTTCAGGAATGGTTTATAGCCCAGGCTATAGGGAGGAGGAGAGCGAGGGAGTCAGTATTCATAGCAATTTCAAGCATTCATTGGATTTTTGTCATAGACGTGCACACATGTGCAGCAACAGTTCCCCTAGCAGAAAGAAAGAAAGAAAGAAAGAAAAAAAGAAAAAAAGAAAAAAAGAAAGAAAAAAGAAAAAAAGAAAGAAAGAAAGAAAAAAGAAAGAAAGAAGAAAGAAAGAAAGAAAGAAAGAAAGAAAGAAAGAAAGAAAGAAAGAAAGAAAGAAAGAAAGAAAGAGACTGACCAGTCTGTGGAGGCCCACGCATCAACTCCCAGCAGGCCGGAGCGGATACTTTGGACGGTCTCAGGAGGAACCTCTGGGCTGTCCAGGAAGTTGACCACCTGCTTGATGACCGTGGCCTCTCTCAGGATCAGACCAATCACAACACACCACTCCAGACAGCCCGCCTCCATGAACACATGCAGCAGGTAGCTGAGGACAGAAAGAGATCAGGTATAAGGCATGATACAGAAGGGCTGGATTCCCAGACACAGATTAAGCCTAGTCCTACACTAAGAAGCATTCAATGGAGATTCTCCATTTAGTGCACTTTAGTCCAGGATAGGCTTAATCTGTGTCTGGGAAACCTACGTAAAGACACACACATAAAGGGTAACAAATCACACAAGATATACACAAACCTACATAAGAAACCAACATACAGACACACAAGCAGAATAGGTCACCACAGCCATAAGTCTAGCTAGGTTGGGATGGTAGATGGGGTGGAGGAGTATTTTGTAGCACCTAATAGAGAAGAGAACAGTCTTACCGTAGCTGGACCTGGGACTTGTGAGGCCCCTTGTTAGCCAGCTCCATGGAGATGTGTTCCAGCTCAGACTGGGTCAGACTCAGAGTGGAGAAGTTCTCATCCACCATGGTCCAGTCTCCATCCACCATGCTGCTGGTCTCTGTCAGGTCTGTGGCCGAACCGATACTGCACTCCTCCGCTTGGGGGAGAGAGAGAGAGAGGGATGGAGTAAGAATAAGGGAGGGGAGAGAGATGACAAGTGAATGCTGAAGAAGAAGAGGGCCACTAACTTTTGTTGGTGAGTGGAGAGAGGAAGGCCTCCTGTGTCTGTGGCCCCCCGTGGGAAGAGGTTGTGTCCATCTCTTTAGGTTGTGCCCCCAGACCGTCCAGCCAGGTGTGGTTGCTGTTGCAGGCTGAGGCCTGCGGGGGCGCTGTGTCCATGTCACTGTTCAACAGGCTGTCTGCTGACTGGGACTTTAGCAGCCGCTGGCTCAGGACTGGAGGTGGTGAGAGAAACGCACACATACAGGCAGTTAGTCATACTAACTCATCAAGGTTGGCACACTGAACACACTTACAAACGAAATGGGATAGGGGAAGTTGACTGGGGACACAGACAGCCACAGCTGAAGGCAGATACAGTCACAGTCACACACAAACACCCCTCTCCCCGACCCTCACCCGTCCTGCGATGTCCATTCTTGAAGGGTGAGTTGATCGAGCATGCTGGGATGACAGGAAACGGCCACAGGAAGTCCTTGTGGAGACACTTCAGCGCCATGACAAAGTCATCAACCCGCGCTACCCGTGTGCGCTCACGGCACAGCCAGCCAATCAGCTCGAAGCCCAGCTGGGCCGAGAAACAGCCCAGGTCTTTGAGGCGGACCTGCTCTAGGAGATGTCGGGCGTGACGCCATAACATCATGTCTATGTACATGTTCTCAGCACAGTCACTGTCCTTACTCCATCGCTCAGACCTAGAGAGGACACATGGAAGAGCTGTTACAGGTATGATGGGAAAGACCAGTAGCACAAATAGTGCAAATACCACCAGGGCTGTTCTCAATTCCATCTAACTTTCAGTCAATTCAGAAACTGAACTGCACCATTGTGCAACGTTGTTTCTGTTCACTGAGCTGAGACAGTTAATCTACAATGGTTTGAGGAGAGTCTCTCCGTACACAGTAGCTGCCACTCAAAGCTTCCTTTGGATCCCTGGATGATAGGTGCTCTCTCAGTGATTGTATAGATATCTACAGTGGGGAGAACAAGTATTTGATACACTGCCGATTTTGCAGGTTTTCCTACTTACAAAGCATGTAGAGGTCTGTAATTTTTATCATAGGTACACTTCAACTGTGAGAGACGGAATCTAAAACAAAAATCCAGTTCAAATTACATTGTATGATTTTTAAGTAATTATTTTGCATTTTATTGCATGACATAAGTATTTGATCACCTACCAACCAGTAAGAATTCCGGCTCTCACAGACCTGTTAGTTTTTCTTTAAGAAGCCCTCCTGTTCTCCACTCATTACCTGTATTAACTGCACCTGTTTGAACTAGTTACCTGTATAAAAGACACCTGTCCACACACTCAAACAGACTCCAACCTCTCCACAATGGCCAAGACCAGAGAGCTGTGTAAGGACATCAGGGATAAAATTGTAGACCTGCTCAAGGCTGGGATGGGCTACAGGACAATAGGCAAGCAGCTTGGTGAGAAGGCAACAACTGTTGGCGCAATTATTAGAAAATGGAAGAAGTTCAAGATGACGGTCAATCACCCTCGGCCTGGGGCTCCATGCAAGATCTCACCTCGTGGGGCATCAATGATCATGAGGAAGGTGAGGGATCAGCCCAGAACTACACGGCAGGACCTGGTCAATGACCTGAAGAGAGCTGGGACCACAGTCTCAAAGAAAACCATTAGTAACACACTACGCCGTCATGGATTAAAATCCTGCAGCGCACGCAAGGTCCCCCTGCTCAAGCCAGCGCATGTCCAGGCCCATCTGAAGTTTGCTAATGACCATCTGGATGATCCAGAGGAGGAATAGGAGAAGGTCATGTGGTCTGATGAGACAAAAATAGAGCTTTTTGGTCTAAACTCCACTCGCCGTGTTTGGAGGAAGAAGAAGGATGAGTACAACCCCAAGAACACCATCCCAACCGTGAAGCATGGAGGTGGAAACATCATTCTTTGGGGATGCTTTTCTGCAAAGGGGACAGGACGACTGCACCGTATTGAGGGGAGGATGGATGGGGCCATATATCGCGAGATCTTGGCCAACAACCTCCTTCCCTCAGTAAGAGCATTGAAGATGGGTCATGGCTGGGCCTTCCAGCATGACAACGACCCGAAACACAGCCAGGGCAACTAAGGAGTGGCTCCGTAAGAAGCATCTCAAGGTCCTGGAGTGGCCTAGCCAGTCTCCAGACCTGAACCCAATAGAAAATCTTTGGAGGGAGCTGAAAGTCCGTATTGCCCAGCGACAGCCCCGAAACCTGAAGGATCTGGAGAAGGTCTGTATGGAGGAGTGGGCCAAAATCCCTGCTGCAGTGTGTGCAAACCTGGTCAAGACCTACAGGAAACGTATGATCTCTGTAATTGCAAACAAAGGTTTCTGTACCAAATATTAAGTTCTGCTTTTCTGATGTATCAAATACTTATGTCATGCAATAAAATGCAAATTAATTACTTAAAAATCATACAATGTGATTCCGTCTCTCACAGTTGAAGTGTACCTATGATAAAAATGACAGACCTCTACATGCTTTGTAAGTAGGAAAACCTGCAAAATCGGCAGTGTATCAAATACTTGTTCTCCCCACTGTACACACAACAGGAGAGTTGTATAGGCAGATGTCATCAGGTAATGCCTGACAAAGAGCCAATTAATTATGCAAAACAGATAATAGCCCACTAATCCTTTATATAATTACTACATGTTATCTTATCATCATCATTGTTCATTTGAACTGGAGCCCAAGCAGTAGTTGGCCTGCTCAGTAGACAGAAAATAAGAATTCCTGCAAGGGTCACAGATATGCTAAAAATGTATGCACTCACTGTACTTTAAGTCGCTTTGAATAAAATAGTCTGTTAAATGGAATATATTATTATAATAATACTATCCGTACCCTTTAGCAGAGGGCCCAGAGGGCATGCTGAAGGTCTTCTGTAGGTTAAACTTCCCAGCAGCGATGCTGTCAGCTGACTGGGACAGACTGATGCTGCGGTTCCTGAAGAACTCAAAGCCTCCCGTTGAACTGGGTTCCTGTTGAGAGGACACATCAACTTCTCACTATATGGAAAGCATTAGAATTCCAATATGCTTTTCAAACAATGTGCTCATAAATCAGGGGGAAAACTCATCCAGTAAACCCCTGTAACAGCAGGCTTATACTCAAAGAGAAATATACAGTATAGCCAGTTTACATCCAATTTATAAACCGGGTGGTTCGAGCCCTGAACGCTGATTGGCTGAAAGCCATGGTATACCAGGTCATATACCATATGAAAAAATAAAAATAAATGTACTGGTCTAATTATGTTGGTAACCAGTTTATAATAGCAATAAGGCACCCCGGGGGGTTTGTGGTATATGGCAAATAAACCACGGCTAAGCGCTGTATCCAGCCCTGGCTATATACCATAACCCCTCGGGCCTTATTGCTTAAATATAGAGAGGCGGATGTGGGGCAGTAGCCTTAATAGCAGTCTTTATACAGTATTTTTAGACCATCTCTAACATTACGCCCATAGATTAGTCTAGCCGCTTAGAGATTTTGCTCTACCATATTTCCAAAGAAACCCTCTGTGACTCACAGAAACTCAATTAAAAACAGAAAAGAGGAGTAGGAAGGAGAGAGGAAAGAGGGTTGTAAGTTAGAGAGAGACAGAACAGAGAAAAAAACAAGAAGAGAGGAGAACAAGAACAAGAAGGAAAGGAGAAGAGAGAGATAGAGGAGAACTAGAGAGAAAGACGCGACGTAAGATCGCAGAAAGAGGCGTAGAGACGCGAGAGCGCTCTGCATCGCCTCTTATCAGATCTCTAGTCCTCTTCTTCTCATCCTACTCGGCCCCTCGCTTCTCTCCTCTGCTTCCTCCTCTCTCTCCCGCTCCTTCCGCGCGAGCTCTCCCGATGCGCTCTCCTCCCCCTCCCTCTCTCGTCTGCCCTGCTGCATCCCCGCCGCGCTCCCGCTTCCCCCCGTCCTCTCACCGCCGCGAAGAGAAGTAGCGAGTTTGAATTAGTTATTTCCTATACCTGAGTGGTTGGTGTTGGAGGCGGGGTCTCCATCTCCCCAGAGCCAATGGCCTTGAGGAATCGGATCATGTGACGACAGAGGTCCCACTTGCCCTGCTCCAGAGCCGTGTTGAAGAGCAGTGTAGCGTGCTGCCTGCTCACCGCTGGAACCTCCATGTTCTAGACAACACAGTTACATTATCAATACAAAACATTTACTACATAACTCGTCCCCTAACATTAACCCAACCTTGGCGCCAACCCTCACCCTACAGTTGCTCCAATCCTAACCCTAGCCCCAACCCTAGCTCCAACCCTCGCCCAACCCTGATACCAGTCACATTTCTAAATAATGTGTGCCTCTGGCTTATAGGATATGAATCTTACAATACCATGAGATAGGGGAGTATATATAGATACCTGTAGTATGATGAGATAGGATGCTGCTGTGTCCAGGTCCTGAGCCATCAGACACTCCTCAAACAGATCCTTGGGGTTTCCCACGGCAGCAAACAGGTAGTTCCAAAGGGCGTACTCAGTCTTCCTGGCGCAGTGCACGATGGTCTGGAGGAAGAAAACATGAATGAATAAATTAATTCATTAATTTAGTTGAAAATACATAGAGTTGCCTCAGCCGAGTACTACAATACACTGATTAAAAATCATTGAGGATTCAAACACCAAGTTAGGGTGCATAGGGAATAGGGTGCCATTTCAGACACAGCCGAGGCTTCATTTATTAACTACTCCTCCATCAACATCTCTCTCTCTCTCCTCCTTACCTGGAGGAACAGGGGGAACTCGGTGATGAACTTGGCCACGGTGGGCAGCAGCGGGTCGGGGATGGGCTCCCGGGATGTGGCCTCCTCCTCCAGCACCACGTGGACCATGAGCTCCATGACATGGGGGAAGTAGGGGAGAGCTGCGCAGGACTGGGCCAGGAGCAGGGCCTGCTCTCCCAGGTTACGCACTAGCAGCTGCCGCAGGATGTGGTGGAGGTAGATCTGGGAGGTCCTCTCCACCGTGCAGTAAGGGAACATCGCCTCAAGAGGCTCCCGGCCCTCTCTGGGACCCTGCAGAAGAAGATTGGTTTTGTAAAGTTTTAGAGTGCAAGAGCTGACACCGTCAAGAGATGGTATCTAGGATTTGATATCAGCCCCCCCCCCTACTTGCAGGCCGTCGAAGACCCCCAGCACCAGAGAATACTATTACTATAATAACTACAATATAATACTACTATAATACTCCTACTACAGTACCTGCAGGCCGTCGTAGAGCACGGTCTCATTAGATGCCCCCAGCACCAGGGCGTCTTCAAACAGCACGGCCAGGGGGTAGATGTTGATGTGGAAGGGGAGCATGATGCGCCGGGACAGGAACGATTGGGGCTTACGGTTGTCACGCGGGAACAGGGGCAGCCACACCTTTTTTGAAAGGTAGAATTAAAGAATTACGTTGCCACATTGAATAATACTCTGAACAAACAAGAAGATCATGAAATACATAGACATACTTAAGCCTTTCAATGTAACCCTTGCAATTTATAGAAGGATGCGAAGATTTTAACAATAATAATAATAATAATAATAATAATAATAGTGTTTCATTTTTATAAAAAGAAGGGGCAGCCATGCCTTCATCCCGGCCTCGCCACAGGACAGCCACAGAGCCTCCAGCAGGTGGCGCTTCTTCCTGTTACTACGACACGTCGTCCACACGTTCTCTACACACTGAGCCAGAACCACGGGAGGACAGAAAGGCAGCTAGAAGAGAGAGAGTTACACACCATGTTAGCATACACACACCACAGTGCATGCTGTGGCAGGTGGGTAAGACAATGCTATAGATCTACATGAACACTGACAGTATCAAGTATGACACAAATGAATCAATCAATATATGTATTATTGACGAGACAAAGACAACTATTACCAGGGGGTGTGACTTAGTCCGGTCCCAGATCTGGTTGTGCTGTATAGCAGGACAATGACTGTAGGAGTTGGCTATACTGCCCAAATAGAGCTGGGACCAGGATAGTTGTTGAGGGATGAGGTGTAGGTGTGTGTGTGTGTGTGTTTGTTTGTTTGTGTACACTACCGGTCAAAGGTTTTAGAACACCTACTCATTCAAGGGTTTTTCTCTATTTTTACTATTTTCTACATTGTAGAATAATAGTGAAGACATCAAAACTATGAAATAACACATATGGAACCATGTAGTAATCAAAGTAACCAAATAAGTATTCAACAAATTAAAACATACAGTTGAAATCTGAAGTTTACATACATCTTAGCCAAATACATTTAAACTCAGTTTTTCACAATTCCTGACATTTAATCCTAGAAAAAATTCCCTGTTTTACGTCAGTTAGGATCACCACTTTATTTTAAGAATGTGAAATGTCAGAATAATAGTAAAGAGAATGATTTATTTAAGCTTTTATTTCTTTCATCACATTCCCAGTGGGTCAGAAGTTTACATACACTCAATTAGTATTTGGTAGCATTGCTTTTAAATTGTTTAACTTGGGTCAAACGTTTCAGGTAGCCTTACACAAGCTTCCCACAATAAGTTGGGTGAATTTTGGCCCATTCCTCCTGACAGAGCTGGTGTAACTGAGTCAGGTTTGTAGGCCTTGCTCGCACCCACGTTTTCAGTTCTGCCCACAAACTTTCTATAGGATTGAGGTCAGGGCTCTGTGATGACCACGCCAATACCTTGACTTTGTTGTCCTTAAGCCATTTTGCCAAGTATGCTTGAGGTCATTGTCCATTTGGAAGACCCATTTGCAACCAAGCTTTAACTTCCTGACTGATGTCTTGAGATGTTGCTTCAATATATCCACATAATTTTCCTTCCTCATGATGCCATCTATTTTGTGAAGTGCACCAGTCCCTCCTGCAGCATAGCACCCCCACAGCATGATGCTGCCACCCCCGTGCTTCACGGTTGGGATGGTGTTCTTCGGCTTGCGAGCGACCCCCTTTTTCCTCCAAACATAACGATGGTCATTATGGCCAAACAGTTCTATTTTTGTTTCATCAGACCAGAGGACATTTCTCCAAAAAGTACGGATCTTTGTCCCCATGTGCAGTTGCAAACCGTAGTCTGGCTTTTTTATGGCGGTTTTGGAGCAGTGGCATCTTCCTTGCTGAGCAGCCTTTCAGGTTATGTCGACATAGGACTTGTTTTACTGTGGATATAGATACTTTTGTACCTGTTTCCTCCAGCATCTTCAGAAGGTCCTTTGCTGTTGTTCTGGGATTGATTTGCACTTTTCGCACCAAAGTACATTCATCTCTAGGAGACAGAACGCGTCTCCTTCCTGAGCGGTATGACGGCTGCGTGGTCCCATGGTGTTTATACTTGCGTACTATTGTTTGTACAGATGAACGTGGTACCTTCAAGAGATTGGAAATTGCTCCCAAGGATGAACCAGACTTGTGGAGGTCTACAAAAAATTTTTCGGAGGTCTTGGCTGATTTCTTTTGATTTTCCCATGATGTCAAGCAAAGAGGCACCGAGTTTGAACGTAGGCCTTGAAATACATCCACAGGTACACCTCCAATTGACTCAAATGATGTCAATTAGCCTATCAGAAGCTTCTAAAGCCATGACATCATTTTCTGGAATTTTCCAAGCTGTTTAAAGGCACAGTCAACTTAGTGTATGTAAACTTCTGACCCACTGGAATTGTGATACAGTGAAATAATCTGTCTGGAAACAATTGTTGGAAAAATTACTTGTGTCATGCACAAAGTAGATGTCCTAACCGACTTGCCAAAACTATAGTTGTGTGGAGTGGTTGAAAAACGAGTTTTAATGACTCCAACCTAAGTGTATGTAAACTTCCGATTTAAACTGTATTTTATATTTGAGATTTTTCAAATAGCCACCCTTTGCCTTGATGACAGCTTTGCACACTCTTGGCATTCTCTCAACCAGCTTCATGAGGTAGTCACCTGGAATGCATTTCAATTAACAGGTGTGCCTTCCTAAAAGTTAAATTTGTGGAATTTCTTCCCTTCTTAATGCGTTTGAGCCAATCCGTTGTGTTGTGACAAGGTAGGGGAGTATACAGAAGATAGCCCTATTTGGTAAAAGACCAAGTTCATATTATGGCAAGAACAGCTCAAATAAGCAAAGAGAAACGATAGTCCATCATTACTTTAAGACATGAAGGTCAGTCAATACGGAACATTTCAAGAACTTTGAAAGTTTCTTCAAGTGCAGTCGCAAAAACCATCAAGCGCTATGATGAAACTGGCTCTCATGAGGACCGCCACAGGAATGGAAGACCCAGAGTTACCTCTGCTGCAGAGGATAAGTTCATTAGAGGTACCAGCCTCAGAAATTGCAGCCCAAATAAATGCTTCCCAGAGTTCAAGTAACAGACATCTCAACATCAACTGTTCAGATGAGACTGTAAATCAGGCCTTCAAGGTCGAATTGCTGCAAAGAAACCACTACTAAAGGACACCAATAAGAAGAAGAGACTTGCTTGGGCCAAGAAACACGAGCAATGGACATTAGACCGGTGGAAATGTGTCCTTTGGTCTGGAGTCCAAATTTGATATTTTTGGTTTCAACCGCCGTGTCTTTGTGAGACACGGTGTGGGTGAACAGATGATCTCCGCATGTGTATTTCCCACTGTAAAGCATGGAGGAGGTGGTGTTATGGTGTGGGGGTGCTTTGCTGGTGACACTGTCTGTGATTTGTTTAGAATTCAAGGCACACTTAACCAGCATGGCTACGCCATCCTATCTGGTTTGGGCTTAGTGGGACTATCATTTGTTTTTCAACAGGACAATGACCCAACACACCTCCAGGCTGTGTAAGGGCTATTTTACCAAGAAGGAGAGTGATGGAGTGCTGCATCAGATGACCTGGCCTCCACAATCCCCCGACCTCAACCCAACTGAGATGGTTTGGGATGAGTCGTACCACAGAGTGAAGGAAAATCAGCCAACAAGTGCTCAGCATATGTGGGAACTCCTTCAAGACTGTTGGAAAAGCATTCCAGGTGAAGCTGGTTGAGATAATGCCAAGAGTGTGCAAAGCTGTCATCAAGGCAAAGGGTGGCTATTTGAAGAAACTCAAATATAAAATATATTTTGATTTGTTTAACACTTTTTTGGTCACTTTATGATTCCATATGTGTTATTTCATAGTTGATGTCTTCACTATTATTCAACAATGTAGAAAATAAAGAATATATATATATATACAGTGGGGAAAAAAAGTATTTAGTCAGCCACCAATTGTGCAAGTTCTCCCACTTAAAAAGATGAGAGAGGCCTGTAATTTTCATCATAGGTACACGTCAACTATGACAGACAAATTGAGAAGAAAAAAAATCCAGAAAATCACATTGTAGGATTTTTTATGAATTTATTTGCAAATGATGGTGGAAAATAAGTATTTGGTCACCTACAAACAAGCAAGATTTCTGGCTCTCACAGACCTGTAACTTCTTCTTTAAGAGGCTCCTCTGTCCTCCACTCGTTACCTGTATTAATGGCACCTGTTTGAACTTGTTATCAGTATAAAAGACACCTGTCCACAACCTCAAACAGTCACACTCCAAACTCCACTATGGCCAAGACCAAAGAGCTGTCAAAGGACACCAGAAACAAAATTGTAGACCTGCACCAGGCTGGGAAGACTGAATCTGCAATAGGTAAGCAGCTTGGTTTGAAGAAATCAACTGTGGGAGCAATTATTAGGAAATGGAAGACATACAAGACCACTGATAATCTCCCTCGATCTGGGGTGCCACGCAAGATCTCACCCCGTGGGGTCAAAATGATCACAAGAACGGTGAGCAAAAATCCCAGAACCACACGGGGGGACCTAGTGAATGACCTGCAGAGAGCTGGGACCAAAGTAACAAAGCCTACCATCAGTAACACACTACGCCGCCAGGGACTCAAATCCTGCAGTGGCAGACGTGTCCCCCTGCTTAAGCCAGTACATGTCCAGGCCCGTCTGAAGTTTGCTAGAGTGCATTTGGATGATCCAGAAGAGGATTGGGAGAATGTCATATGGTCAGATGAAACCAAAATATAACTTTTTGGTAAAAGCTCAACTCGTCGTGTTTGGAGGACAAAGAATCCTTTGTTGCATCCAAAGAACACCATACCTACTGTGAAGCATGGGGGTGGAAACATCATGCTTTGGGGCTGTTTTTCTGCAAAGGGACCAGGACGACTGATCCGTGTAAAGGAAAGAATGAATGGGGCCATGTATCGTGAGATTTTGAGTGAAAACCTCCTTCCATCAGCAAGGGCATTGAAGATGAAACGTGGCTGGGTCTTTCAGCATGACAATGATCCCAAACACACCGCCCGGGCAACGAAGGAGTGGCTTCGTAAGAAGCATTTCAAGGTCCTGGAGTGGCCTAGCCAGTCTCCAGATCTCAACCCCAATAGAAAATCTTTGGAGGGAGTTGAAAGTCCGTGTTGCCCAGCGACAGCCCCAAAACATCACTGCTCTAGAGGAGATCTGCATGGAGGAATGGGCCAAAATACCAGCAACAGTGTGTGAAAACCTTGTGAAGACTTACAGAAAACGTTTGACCTGTTTCATTGCCAACAAAGGGTATATAACAAAGTATTGAGAAACTTTTGTTATTGACCAAATACTTATTTTCCACCATAATTTGCAAATACATTCATTAAAAATCCTACAATGTGATTTTCTGGATATTTTTTCCTCATTTTGTCTGTCATAGTTGACGTGTACCTATGATGAAAATTACAGGCCTCTCTAATCTTTTTAAGTGGGAGAACTTGCACAATTGGTGGCTGACTAAATACTTTTTTCCCCCACTGTATATACACACACACACACATACATAGGGTGTGTGTGTATGAGTGTGTGTGTTTATGTGTATATATATATATACACACACACACACACACACACACACAGTGGGGAGAACAAGTATTTGATACACTGCCGATTTTGCAGGTTTTCCTACTTACAAAGCATGTAGAGGTCTGTAATTTTTATCATAGGTACACTTCAACTGTGAGAGACTGAATCTAAAACAAAAATCCAGAAAATCACATTGTATGATTTTTAAGTAATTAATTTGCATTTTATTGCATGACATAAGTATTTGATCACCTACCAACCAGTAAGAAGCCCTCCTGTTCTCCACTCATTACCTGTATTAACTGCACCTGTTTGAACTCGTTACCTGTATAAAAGACACCTGTCCACACACTCACTCAAACAGACTCCAACCTCTCCACAATGGCCAAGACCAGAGAGCTGTGTAAGGACATTAGGGATAAAATTGTAGACCTGCACAAGGCTGGGATGGGCTACAGGACAATAGGCAAGCAGCTTGGTGAGAAGGCAACAACTGTTGGCGCAATTATTAGAAAATGGAAGAAGTTCAAGATGACGGTCAACCACCCTCGGTCTGGGGCTCCATGCAAGATCTCACCTCGTGGGGCATCAATGATCATGAGGAAGGTGAGGGATCAGCCCAGAACTACACGGCAGGACACACAAGGTCCCCCTGCTCAAGCCAGCGCATGTCCAGGCCCATCTGAAGTTTGCTAATGACCATCTGGATGATCCAGAGGAGGAATAGGAGAAGGTCATGTGGTCTGATGAGACAAAAATAGAGCTTTTTGGTCTAAACTCCACTCGCCGTGTTTGGAGGAAGAAGAAGGATGAGTACAACCTCAAGAACACCATCCCAACCGTGAAGCATGGAGGTGGAAACATCATTCTTTGGGGATGCTTTTCTGCAAAGGGGACAGGACGACTGCACCGTATTGAGGGGAGGATGGATGGGGCCATGTATCGCGAGATCTTGGCCAACAACCTCCTTCCCTCAGTAAGAGCATTGAAGATGGGTCGTGGCTGGGTCTTCCAGCATGACAACGACCCGAAACACACAGCCAGGGCAACTAAGGAGTGGCTACGTAAGAAGCATCTCAAGGTCCTGGAGTGGCCTAGCCAGTCTCCAGACCTGAACCCAATAGAAAATCTTTGGAGGGAGCTGAAAGTCCGTATTGCCCAGCGACAGCCCCGAAACCTGAAGGATCTGGAGAAGGTCTGTATGGAGGACTGGGCCAAAATCCCTGCTGCAGTGTGTGCAAACCTGGTCAAGACCTACAGGAAACGTATGATCTCTGTAATTGCAAACAAAGGTTTCTGTACCAAATATTAAGTTCTGCTTTTCTGATGTATCAAATACTTATGTCATGCAATAAAATGCAAATTAATTACTTAAAAATCATACAATGTGATTTTCTGAATTTTTGTTTTAGATTCCGTCTCTCACAGTTGAAGTGTACCTATGATAAAAATTACAGACCTCTACATGCTTTGTAAGTAGGAAAACCTGCAAAATCGGCAGTGTATCAAATACTTGTTCTCCCCACTGTATATATATATATATATATATATATATATATATATATATATATATATATATATATATATATATATATGTGTGTGCGTGTGTGTGTGTGTGTGTGTGTGTGTGTGTGTGTGTGTATGTGCGTGTGTGAGCGACTCACCAGTTTCTTCTGGTCTTCCCTCTCTCGTACCTGCGGTCCAGAACGGTCTCTCTGTAGCATGATGAGTTGGCCAGCCAGGTTCAGCATGATGCTCTCTGCCATACAGGCCTGGTACAGCGACCAGAAACACACACATTTGTACTATTCACATTTTAACAATATGGCAGACACTCTTATCCAGAGTGATTCACAATCAGCGCATTCACTAAAGTATGTTTAAAAAGACATCACAATCAGCACATTCACTAAAGTAGGTTTTAAAAAATTATGTAAAAAACTATGTTCATAATAGCTGCTAAATCAGGGCTCTCCAAACCTGTTCCTGGACTGCTACCCTCCTGTAGATTTTCGTTCCAACCCCAGTTCTAACTAACCTGATTCAGCTTATCAACCAGCTAATTATTAGAATCAGGTGCGCTAGATTAGGGTTGGAGTGAAAACCTCCAGGACGGTAGCTCTCCAGGAACAGGGTTGGAGACCCCTGTGCTAAATCAATGCTAGTCAAAGTAAAGAAAAGTGATAGGAGCAGGGAGGGCAGTGGTAGAAGAGCCAAGGTGCTGTCTGAAGAGATGGGCTTTTGATGGGATTTCATGTTTGTATTGAACCAGTACCTGCTGTGGGGCTTTAAGCGTGATGCCGGTCTCTGTGCGTACCGAGGTGAGGGTGACAGACACCACCAGGGCAGGATGGGGGATGTAGCGGGACATAGACACCTCCTGAAGCAGCTCAACACTGGCTGACGGGTTGGGCCTTCAGAGAAAGAGAGAGAGACACACACACACAATCGTCAATACACTACTAATAGCATTCATTATATTGGCCCTTTGCAAAGCTCACCCCCAGCTAAAGCCCCAACCAATGGCATGTGATAAGTATTATTGGATTTTTCTCATGTTCTCATGTTCTCATGTGACTTTCTTTTCACAACACTATTGATTATCCTCTGAGACCTTCTCTGTCAGGTGATCTTCCGTACCTGTCGTGTCCTGCCTGCTAATAATGTTGTGTGTGAGAGTTTTTTTAGTATGAGTGGGTGTGCATGCCTGTGCCTGTGCTAAGCGTGTTTGTCTCCCCCTACCCGTCGTGCCTCCTCTCGATGCTGTAGAGGCAGATAGAGCAGTCTGCTCTGAAGAGGATGATCATGTCTCTGAACACGTTGAGCAGCAGAGTGTCAGAGTGCAGCTTAGTGATGGAGGCGAAGGCATTGTCCAGGTTGGACGACCGAAGGTACAGACGCAGCTACACAGGGAGGGGAGAAACAACACAGCTGTTCACTTTGTCAATCAGTCAATCGACCAATCAACTGAGTTAATCAGCTAGTGAGCAAACAATCGCACACTCAATCAATTTTTTCCATGCAAGTTTGACCCATACATGTTCAGAATAGGGTGGTGTACAAAAAAGTGGTATTATTCTGGAATGTTAGTTATCTGTTGTCGTCTCACCTCTTCTTGCTGGTCGATGAAATTGTAACAGGCAACAACGACAAAGTCATTCCACCAGGCCAGCCCCCCTGTCACGGTCATGTTCTGCTCCTGAGTGATGTTTCCAAACAGCTTCCATTTCCTGGTGGACATGGAGTAATGTGCAAATCCGCGTCTCCCTGCTACCGCTATGCACTGGCCTGCTGTGTCTATGGCTGCAAACTAGAGACACACAGGGACATCACTAGATCATTTTACCAGGTCAGGGAATAATGAATACACACACACACACACACACACCACCTCACGCATTAGCATGCTATATCTATGGCTTCTAAGTGCACATGAGGAGAGTGGGACACTGGAAAAACAGCATTAATTTTACTACCCAGGCTAACGTGGTTTTATGTAGACACACACACCCTGAATATTATCCCTAAGGACAGACGTAGAAGTATTTCCCACACCGACTCACCCGTATAGGCCAATTGCTCTCTAGGTATGTGTTGTGAATCTACGAAAGAGAAAAACACAGGATAGTTTTACTGACAGGATACTAAACATAATTTATAACTTGCCAAGTTTTACATCAACATATCAAAGCAAAATTTGGATAGATAAATATGGCTAGATAGCCAGCTAATGGAAAATAACGCTTATTGAATTTGAATTGAATGAAGAAGTTTATGAGGTTGTACCTGGACCACATGCCAGTGCTTGTGTCCCAGTAAAGTGCTGAGTCCATGAGAGATAGAGTTGGGTGAGGGGGCGGAGGGGTGGTGAAGAGGACTGCCCTCCTGGCCATGGGCGAGGTTATGGGGGTGAGGGGTGTGGGGGCCATCTGAGCTGCTGGATGGGACCTGGGTGGGGTCACCACAGGTCAGGTACAGACGGTCCTCCCCATGTAGTAACACCTGCTCCTGGTTACTCTGGAGGGACAGACAACAGGGAATCAATGAATAATCAATATGTTTGCAACATATCAGTATTCTACATGAAAGTGCCCAGCAAGCAAAATTGGTTGGTGCACAGGAGTGTGTGTGCATTGATGCCATGTCCATGAGCTCACTGTGCAGGGGTTAACGGTGAGGGCGCTTTTGATGAAGTGGAACTGCAGTATGCCCGCCTGCTGGGTCTGGGTAGGGGGTGGAGCCTCCTCCATGTTCTCTACAAGCTCCGCCTCCTCTTTACTGGTGATGACCCACAGGTGGTAGCCTTCTGCTCCCCAGCACATAGAGCTGATCTTTATAGGATCCTTCTTAGTGCCGTCTGACCGATACCTGGGGTTGAGACCATAGTCAGATAAGGGTTTATAATATACATCATTGCAAGGAGAGAAAGAGAAGAGATAGCGCTATGTTTCTTTTGTCCCATTCAAGATGATGCTTGCTCAATCTATACTGTATGAGAAAGCGCAGTCTGCACTATGGCGTACAATCGAGTGTAGCTGACAAGACGACAGCGATATGAATTGTACTACGACTGTGGTGTACTTGAGGGGAAGGAAGAAAAATACTAATAGACGTAGGAGAATAAAAACAGTTGTCTTGTCACTCACGCAAAGTCCTCCCCGAGCGTACAGATGAGGTGTGCTCCGAACACACTCCATAAAGACAGCCCCCCGCACTCCCAGGTCACCATGGCAACGCTGTAGTCGGGGGACCAGCGGATCAGCTTCACCGCGCCTGTCTTGTTCCACACGTCTGAGGAGGGAGATTCGATACAGACATGATGACTGGTCAGACAGAAATCTTTTCAGTAGTACAGTTTGGAGTCAATTCCATTTAGTCAATTCAGAAATATTGAAATTCATTTAAATTGAGGAAAATTGGAATGGGAATATGGTTTACTTCCTGGATTGATGGAATTGACCACAACCCTGCTTTTACAGTAGTATGGTTTATTTGGTTTAACAGTGCACTTGTTGACAACAGAGATACACTAGGTTGGAGGAGCTGACATTGTAAAATAAACATCCCTGTGATGTAATCTAGCACAGGGTTATTTCAAATGTCAATAGGATTTTACATGGTACTGTATTTTCATACCACCCACTACCACTAGGGGGCATGAGTGTACCATAAACAAACCAATGGTTCTGCATCACTGATGTGTTGAGGGGAACTACTACATAGAATCACTTGCACTTTCGAGTCAAAACGAAAACCATCACTATAAAGAGGCATAATGTGATGACCATACACTGTAAAACCTGACAGGGCGTACTACTTTGTATAAAAAGTGTACTTTCATCTGTAAACACTAATGGGAGTGTGAGCTGGTGGTCAGTCAGAGACAGACATACCGGGGAAGTGTTTTGGGGTGAGCTCCAGCTTGTGGGAGAGCTGCATGGATCCTGTAGTGGTGTCAATCATGTACACCAATACTGAACCACTAGAACAGATAGACAGACAAATGTTAATAATTATTAATTACTTTTTCTAATGTAACATTGTGCTTTGGCAATATGTATCAATGCCAATAAAGCTAATTGATATTCACAAACACAGTCAGTGAATTCAATAAATGAATAAATATTCCTGACCCATCGGAAGTAGGCAGATTACATAACAACCACTTGTACAGTCAAGTTCATGTCATTCTTGTTTAATACTGAGTACCAACAATTAATTAGCCTACATTTCCTAAATGAAAAACAAACGCTGAAGTAATGAGCAGGCATTTAATGAACAGAATGGCTGTGGAATCCACTCAGGTTCTCTCTCTCTCTGCTGAACTCATCACTACAGTCCAGTGTGTGTGTGTGTGTGCGAAATAATCTGCTGTCTGTTTGTCTTTAGCGTGTGCTTGACAAGGAGTTCTCATGGATTGTGCAATCTGCCAGCACTCAGTCACAAATGTTTTCTTTTTCACTCCCTCTCTTCCTCGTTCCTCTTTCTCCCTCTCTCACAGCTCTCCTGCCTGCCTGAACAGTGGGACCCTGGATCTCTTGATTTTGTCATTTACATTCCAGTTAAACAGCAGATAGGAAGCGGCTACAGAGGCCTGTACTGACGTCAGCAGGACACACATACACGTACCTGGCACAACCAAACGCCATCAGCCTGTACTTATTGTTGACCGCCACACACGTGCCATCTGTTACATCTGCAGCCCAGACGCCCTGCAGCTGCTGGAGAAGACAAAGACAGTCACAGATAGATCACTAAACTTCACTCCGACGCGCGCGCACACACACACACGCAGACACTCAACTTCTTTTTTCACTCACCCATTTTCATCAACCCTTGACAGTCATCATGCTTAACTGTTTAACATGACTTACAGAACACTGCTGCATTGTGTGTGCACCACAGCAAATCGTGCACACTAACACACCCTTCTCCAACAGTTCTTACGTTAGTGACTCTGCTGGCTACAGTAGTGATGACTTCCAGCGTGTCAATCGTCAAGCACCACAGCAAATCACACACACACACACACACGCACACTTTCTCTTACGTCTGCAGTAAACCTGCTGGCTACAGGACTGATGAATCCCAGCCTCCCATCGTCAAGCACCACAGCAAAGCCATCCAGAGTCACACAGTACTCCATGTCTCTGATGTACACCCCCTGCAGGTCCAGAGACGGACCACCTGCAGAGGCAATAAACGCATGAAGAAAGACATTATGCACACACATGACTTCAGACCTACATAAGGAGGACACTTAGGCTGCGCTTACACAGGCAGCCCAATTCTGATCTTTTCTTCACAGATCAGCTCTGAAAAATATCTGATGTGCAATGATTTGATGGGATTGGACCAATTAGTGGAAAAAATATCAGAATTGGGCTGCCTGTTTAAACGCCGCCATAGAGATTGTATCTACAGTGGGGGGGAAAAAGTATTTAGTCAGCCACCAATTGTGCAAGTTCTCCCACTTAAAAAGATGAGAGAGGCCTGTAATTTTCATCATAGGTACACGTCAACTATGACAGACAAAATGAGAAAGAAAAATCCAGAAAATCACATTGTAGGATTTTTAATTTATTTATTTGCAAATTATGGTGGAAAATAAGTATTTGGTCAATCACAAAAGTTTCTCAATACTTTGTTATATACCCTTTGTTGGCAATGACACAGGTCAAACGTTTTCTGTAAGTCTTCACAAGGTTTTCACACACTGTTGCTGGTATTTTGGCCCATTCCTCCATGCAGATCTCCTCTAGAGCAGTGATGTTTTGGGGCTGTCGCTGGGCAACACGGACTTTCAACTCCCTCCAAAGATTTTCTATGGGGTTGAGATCTGGAGACTGGCTAGGCCACTCCAGGACCTTGAAATGCTTCTTACGAAGCCACTCCTTCGTTGCCCGGGCGGTGTGTTTGGGATCATTGTCATGCTGAAAGACCCAGCCACATTTCATCTTCAATGCCCTTGCTGATGGAAGGAGGTTTTCACTCAAAATCTCACGATACATGGCCCCATTCATTCTTTCCTTTACACGGATCAGTCGTCCTGGTCCCTTTGCAGAAAAACAGCCCCAAAGCATGATGTTTCCACCCCCATGCTTCACAGTAGGTATGGTGTTCTTTGGATGCCACTCAGCATTCTTTGTCCTCCAAACACGACGAGTTGAGTTTTTACCAAAAAGTTATATTTTGGTTTCATCTGACCATATGACATTCTCCCAATCCTCTTCTGGATCATCCAAATGCACTCTAGCAAACTTCAGACGGGCCTAGACATGTACTGGCTTAAGCAGGGGGACACGTCTGGCACTGCAGGATTTGAGTCCCTGGCGGCGTAGTGTGTTACTGATGGTAGGCTTTGTTACTTTGGTCCCAGCTCTCTGCAGGTCATTCACTAGGTCCCCCCGTGTGGTTCTGGGATTTTTGCTCACCGTTCTTGTGATCATTTTGACCCCACGGGGTGAGATCTTGCGTGGAGCCCCAGATCGAGGGAGATTATCAGTGGTCTAGTATGTCTTCCATTTCCTAATAATTGCTCCCACAGTTGATTTCTTCAAACCAAGCTGCTTACCTATTGCAGATTCAGTCTTCCCAGCCTGGTGCAGGTCTACAATTTTGTTTCTGGTGTCCTTTGACAGCTCTTTGGTCTTGGCCATAGTGGAGTTTGGAGTGTGACTGTTTGAGGTTGTGGACAGGTGTCTTTTATACTGATAACAAGTTCAAACAGGTGCCATTAATACAGGTAACGAGTGGAGGACAGAGGAGCCTCTTAAATAAGAAGTTACAGGTCTGTGAGAGCCAGAAATCTTGCTTGTTTGTAGGTGACAAAATACTTATTTTCCACCATAATTTGCAAATAAATTAATAAAAAATCCTACAATGTGATTTTCTGGATTTTTTTTTCTCAATTTGTCTGTCATAGTTGACGTGTACCTATGATGAAAATTACAGGCCTCTCTCATCTTGTTAAGTGGGAGAACCTGCACAATTGGTGGCTGACTAAATACTTTTTCCCCCCACTGTATGTAAACATTTATAGCTGTAGGGGGGATAGGTAAGGTGGGGAGAGGGTGGCGAGGTCTGGGGAGAGGATGGGATATATTGAGTCTGAATGCAAATGTACACATTGGGTAGAGGTTCAGGTTGGTTGAGAGGGATTGGTAGAGCTAGGTGGGGTGGGTAAGGTTTGGGCAGAGTACTGGTAGGAAGAGGGTGGCGAGGAGAGGATGGTATATAGTGGGTGTGACTGACCACGTGCTGACTGCAGGTCCAGGGAGAAGGGGACGGTGCAGAGACTGATGGCCTTCCTGCCGTTGCTGACTCCGTCCCAGTGGAGGATGTGGAGGTAGCCATCAGCTGTAGACACCAACAAGTCCTCCTGAAGCGACTTAATACTGGGGGAGGGAGGGGAGAGAGAGAGAGGTGGATGAGGGAGAGAGGAAGACAAGGAGAGAGCGATAAATATACATAGGGTGTTAGAAGAAACTAGTCACATTGTGTCTAGCTAGTGTTCACTGGCTGCCCAGCTGTGAGCACATCTATTCCAAGTACCAGGCCTTAATGTCTCCACATGTGAAAGGGAAAAAACAACACAGCTCAACAAAGGGGGGGGGGGGGGGGGGGGGGGGGGGAGGGGGAAGAAAGAGAGAGAAAGAAAGAGAGAGAAAGAGAGAGCGCACGCACTGGGATGTTAAATCAGCCCATTGTCAACCAGGCACATAGCAGAGAATCTGAGAGGAAGGCCCTGAAACAGAGAATGATTTACAGCAACAGATCAGAAGCACCCAGCAGCTACCATACAGTCACTCAGCCTCCTTAACACCATCATTCAAATAAACTTTCCTGCTCATTGTTATGCCTGAAGTGCAGCTAGAAAGACAGTGAGAGAGAGAGAGTGAGTATGTAACAAAGCGACCGCAACATTCCGGGGGAGAGGGCGCGCGCAAAATAAATGAGTAGAAAATGAAAATATAGAGAGCGAGGGAGTATGCGGCAGAAAATGGAAGAATTTGGAGGGAATAAAGAGGGACAGATGAAGAGAAAGAGGAGTGTTCTCCTCCTTCTATCCTCCTGGAATGGAATCCTCCTGCAGAGATGCAGAGGGACCAGGCTGGAATGTGTGGTCCCAGTCTACTCAGATGGTCTGTGAGTACTGAGGAGTACCCGGTAGCCTAGCCTCAGTAATCTGACTGTGGTCTGGCCAGAACAGAACACTTCATCTCTTCAGAGCAGAATGGGGCATTCTAGAGCCAACAGCCACCAGGACTCTCTGGAAAATTGGTCTTCTCAAGCCAGAAGGACAATACTGGAGCTTAGCTGCTCTGCTCAGTTCACCCCAGGCATGCAGCTCTAAAGCCAGACTACTGGCAGGATGGACACACATGCACGCACACACACACACACACAGAAACAAAGGAAACGCGAGGATGAATAGATTTTTAATGTCCTACTGACGTCCACAGGGACTAGAGGAAGAATGTGCAAAGCCACATGTAGTTAAATAATTAGCAGCAGCCAAATTAACAAATTGGTTTGGGAAGAGGAGGAAATCTATTCAGCACTAAAATGTACACAGTGGCTGAAGTAAGTACCATGCACCAGTCCAGAATGGAAAACAAACTAGATTTATGATGCGCAAAAAATGTGTTTACTTGCATACTAAACACACTTCCGTGTCCAGAAGGTGTTCCAGCGCGCGTGTGCGAGTGTGTGTTTCCATGTTTAGGTGTGTATTACATTTTAGTCATTTAGCAGACGCTCTTATCCAGAGCAACTTACAGTTAGTGAGTGCATATATTTTCATACTGGTTCCCCGTGGGAATCGAAGCCACAACCCTAGCGTTGCAAGCGCCATGCTCTACCAACTGAGCTACACAGGTATACCAACTGTATACCGCGTGTATGTGCATGTGTGTTTCCGTGTTTAGGTGTGTGTGTGTGTGTGTGTGTGTGTGTGACTGTAGTACCTGGTGATGGGAGCCTCCAGGTCTATGGGTCTCTTCATCTCCAGGCTGAGAGCGGGGGCACACTGCTCTTCTTTATAACCTGGGGTGACCTTGACACGCGGACTCCCTCTGTAAACACACACACACGTACGTACGCACGCACGATAAGATCAAATTCATCAAGTCTAAATCAAAAGGCAAAAAAGCATGGGTTAGTCAAACAATGTTGTTCTAGGACACCAGCAGTCAGAGAAGGTTGGGTTTCGTGCATCCTCCCAGACTGGAGTGATTCCATAAGAAACCAGGACAAAAAAAACACCATGATTTTGGTGATTTTCATGAAATTGTATCCATAGCATGGTCCTTTGGAGGAAGGCCTGTTGACCTATATTTGACATTTGTATTTAAAAGTATAATTTTGGCCCTACCAGGTCTTCTTTAAGACTCCATAATGTTTCATCTGTAGGTGCTACAAAGCAGAAATGTGTGTCGTATGAAGCTTTACTGCTTGCTCTGTAATAAGAGTACTACTCTTGAATTCAATTTTTAAAAAATACATTAATTTATGAAAAGTAAAAAATATAAACATTAATATTTAAAGTACAGTGCATTCAGAAAATAGTCAGACCCCTTGACTTTTTCCACATTTTGTTACGTTACAGCCTTATTCTAAAATTGATTAAATTGTTATTTTTCCCCCATCAATCTACACACAATATCCCATAAAAACGGAAATATCACATTTACATAAGTATTCAGACCGTTTACTAAGTACTTTGTTGAAGCACCTTTGGCAGCGATCACAGCCTCAAGTCTTCTTGGGTATGACGCTACAAGCTTGGCACACCTGTAATTGGAGAGTTCTTCTTGGCAGATCCTCTCAAGCTCTGTCAGGTTGGGTGGGGAGCATCGCTGCACAGCTATTTTTAGGTCTCTCCAGAGATGTTCGATCGGGTTCAAGTCCGGGCTCTGGTTGGGACACTAAAGGCCATTGAGACTTGTCCTGAAGCCACTCCTGCGTTGTCTTGGCTGTGTGCTTAGGGTCGTTGTCCTGTTGGAAGGTGAACCTTCGCCCCAGTCTGAGGACCTGAGCGCTCTGGAGCAGGTTTCTATCAAGGATCTCTCTGTACTTTGCCCCGTTCATCTTTTCCTCGATCCTGACTAGTTTCCCAGTCCCTGCCACTGAAAAACATCCCCACAGCATGATGCTGCCACCACCATAGGGATGGTGCAAGGTTTCCTCCAGACGTGACGCTTGGCATTCAGGCCAAAGAGTTCAATCTTGGTTTCATCAGACCAGAGAATCTTGTTTCTCACGGTCTGAGAGTCCTTTAGGTGCCTTTTGGCAAACTCCAAGTGGGCTGTCATGTGCCTTTTACTGAGGAGTGGCTTCGGTCTGGCCACTACCATAAAGGCCTGATTGGTGGAGTGCTGCATTTTTCAACATGAGTATGAAAAATGTATGCACTCACTAACTGTAAGTCACTCTGGATAAGAGCGTCTGCTAAAAATGACTAAAATGTAAAAAAATTAAATAAATGGTTGTCCTTCCAGAAGGTACTCCCATCTCCACAGAGGAACTCTGGAGCTCTTTCAGAGTGACCATCCGGTTCTTGGTCACCTCCCTGACCAAGGGCCTTCTCCCCCGACTGCTCAGTTTGGCCGGGCGCCCAGCTCTACGAAGAGTCTTGGTTGTTCCAAACTTCTTCCATTTAAGAATGGTGGAAGCCACTGTGTTCTTGGGGACCTTAAATGCTGCAGAAATGTTTTGGTTCCCTTCCCCAGGTCTGTGCCTCGACACAATCCTGTCTTGGAGCGCTACGGACAATTCCTTCGACCTCATTGCTTGGTTTTTGCTCTGACATGCACTGTCAACTGTGGGACCTTATATAGACAGGTGTGTGCCTTTCCAAATCATGTCCAATCAACTGAATTTACCACAGGTGGACTCCAATCAAGTTGTAGAAACATCTCAAGGATGATCAACGGAAACAGGATACACCTAAGCTCAATTTCGAGTCTCATAGCAAAGGATCCCACACATGCACGTAGTTGAACATAATATCCTCTATGTGCATATCAAAGTTCCAGAGTGGGATCTCTGCTACTTTTAGAGTTATGATCCAATTTGTAGGCATTACAAAAAGAGTGAATGTGAAAATTGATTCAAAATGGTCGCCCTCTGCTGGTGATTTGCAGGATGTGCAATGATACAAGTAAAAGGAGGGCTATGATTGGTTACATTGCCTACTGTGCCAATTTCTCTGTATACAATAGGCCATCAATTTAACTGGGCTCCCTGTGGAGCTCTGAGTGTTCCCTCACTGATGGTGTGGTGATGACACACCCACACACGCATGCACGCAGCCCTATGCCCTGTGTTATAACAGTGGGAGGGTCATGACTGGTGAGGAACACACTGTACAGTCATCCACAGCATTAATTGTTAATCTAATTAGTCCTGACATTTGCCAAGGCCTTCAACATGCAATGATGTCCTGAACTACAACCTATTCCTCAGGCCCACTGACTGGTACACTCATTATTACATCATGTAGACAGTACACACAGTGGGGTTTGTGTTTAACACTGAGTGACTGAGCATTGCCTGCTAGAGTACAACATTGACCTTTGTGGCTAACTTTGAACTCTACTCCAGTCCTAAACTACAGCCTATTGCTCAGGCCTACTGGTAAATTAATTGTGATAACATGCCATTTGTATACACACAGTGGGGTTTGTCCTAAACTATGAGTGACTTAGGATTGTTGACCTTTGAACTTCCACATTTAATCCCTGCCTTCCCCAGCAGGTCCTTGGCCTGCTGCAGTTGACCTTTGTTGTTGTACTTTGAACTTCAACATTTGACTCTGGAGAAAAAGAGATGGATGTGGGCGGAGAGAACAGGAAGGAAGGAGTTAGGTACTCACTTGGGATAGACTGGCTCGTAAAGATACTTGTCCTCTCCTCCTCCCACCACGTCAAACATGAGGATGTAGCCATTGGCAGCCTGCAGAGAGAGAGAGAATAAGGAGAGAGAGAGAGCGAGAAGGAGGGAGAGAGAGAGCAAGAAACCGAGAAAGAGAGAGAGAGAGAGAGAGAGAGACAGAGAAAGAGAGAGAGAGACAGAGCGAGAAAGATACATTATTCATGAGTAAGGTGTGGCCTTACATTTACATGTTACATTTTTAGTCATTTAGCAGACGCTCTTATCCAGAGCGACTTACAGTTAGAGTGCATACATCATTTTTTTTTATACTGGCCCCCCGTGGGAATCGAACCCACAACCCTGGCGTTGCAAACGCCATGCTCTACCAACTGAGCTACATCCCTGCCGGCCATTCCCTCCCCTACCCTGGACGACGCTGGGCCAATTGTGCGCCGCCCCATGGGTCTCCCGGTCGCGGCCGGCTACGACAGAGCCTGGATAAACTCTGATCCAGGGACTGTGGTTTGGTGTGTTATTACATCCAGCCTGCTGTATACAGAGAACATCTCTCTCCATTCCCAGCCACTACTGTTCAGACCTGTCATTATTATCAGTTAGTAGAGAGAGAGAGAGAGCTCATTTTCAGCCCGTCTGGCCTTGCTTGCTTGTCTTGCAAGGGCAGTCGAGAGGAAAATACTTCAGCCTAGAGAAAGTTTTACCTAGAATAAGGGGAGTTTTTCTACACGCTTCGGGGCATCAATGGTCACAGTAAATAGAGATGAGCCTATCTAAGCCTAAATGCACACACTTTCGATTTCATGTTAACAGTTTATTTGCACACCACAATATCACAAAGACGCTCACAGTAAACTTAAGCCTAAAGTCTGAGACTTCAGCAACACTTGATACAGTCAGTCAGTGAATGACGTATCATTTGCGTGGTTTCACAGTGGCTGTGCAGTGCACAGCACTCACTGAACTAACGTTGTAGCCTAACCTCAAGTAACCCAAACAGGTCAAGGATACCTGGAGTACCCCCTGACATTTCTACAGTGTGGTAACCAAAGGAGAGCCATGCACTGGTGAAATATAACGAGGTGTGACATTTGACTCATTCCCACAGGCAACACCAGCTGGAGCAACAAGTAGGCTATAGTACTCTGGCTATAAAAGCAGAGAGTGAGAGAGAGAGAGAGAGCTACCTGTAGCCAAACTGGGTTCTGTTATAGTCATTAAGGCTGAAGTAGCAGACACAGGGTCTAGGCCTACTCTTAAAAACAAACACACGCTTCAATCCAACGTTCATATCACAGAGAGTCGGTCCCTCAACATGTCAACCTCTAGAACTGAAAAGGAACAGCTGTTTATGACTGAATAAAGTTCAAATTATTTATGATCTAAATTAATGACCATATTTCTTGCAAAGCATACAGATCCCAAATAGTTTAATGTTAGTCTTGCTGAAGCTTTTCCATGTATACATTTGACAAAAACAAAACAACTCTTCCAGGAGTTCTGTATTTTTTCACAGCCAAAAACAGTTATACTTAAGACTGGGGAGTATCTAGCTTGGTCTCAGATCTGTTTGTGCCATATTGCCAACTCCTATGGTCATCATTGGTAAGACAGTTGGCAGGACAGCATAGATCTGGGACCAGACTAAGGAGCATCCAACAAAGAATAACCCAAAGAGTGACAGAACCATACAATTACACGGCTGTCTCCATGGAGATGTGGGGGAAAGTAAAACTCAGGAAGTTAAACTAGTTCCATAATTAAACATGACATTTCAGTAAAAGCCTGGTTGGAGTAAGTGATTTAGTGACACTAACAATGCCAGAGGCAAAACCCTTATGAAAGAAAAGCTTGAGAAATACTTCTGAAAAATAACTGTAGAAAAGGAAAGAACTGTCAAAGACAACAAACAGACCAGCCAGAGTCCATGCAGATTTTAACTGGTGTGTGGCAGAAACCAAGCCAAGCATTACTCAGAGAGCAGAGCAATAAGAGAGATTGAAAATAGAGTCTGGGGTGGAAAAAGGAGAGAGAGCGAAAGAGAGAGAATAGAAGAGGAGAGAGAAAAAAAGAGAGAGATACACACTACATGGTCAAAAGTATGTGGACATACCT